AATCTATCTTTTCTTTCCTTTCTCTTTTCCTTTCTTTCCTCTCTTTGGTGCATCTTTCTCTTCTGTCGAGCCCCTCTATTTATACTGAAAGCAGAGGCTAACAAATTGGCCAATTGGCCAGTAAATAAATTATTTTATTATTATTATATTATTTATTTATTATTATTTTTTTTTAATAGATAGTGGACATATGGGGGGCGGTGCATGTGGGGCGGCACCGCCCCAATTAGATATAGATTCTGACACTAAGTATAGTAGACCGGACTACTGTTTATTAAACCCAGTTAAGCACTCATAGGCTACAACTGGGGCTGTTATCGAACCGAAATGTTCGCGAACAAAGCTCGTTCGTGTGCGATAACAGCTCGTTCGTTTAGCAATCGAGTCGAACTCGAACATGAAATTATGTTCGTTTAGTTATCGAACGAACACGAACAAGTTCGTGAACTAATCGAGCGTTCGCGAACTAAAAAATATTTTATAATTTTATATATTATGTATAGTATATACATGTATAATATAATATATAAATATGAATATACATTAAATATTAAATAAAATAACTTGTACGACATTAAAATAAAAAAAAAAGTTAAAAAACACGAACACGAACTTGTCGAACAGTTCGAACAATTTGAACAGTTCACGAACAAGTTCGACTAGATAAAGAAATGAACACGAACGTGTCGAACCAATAAATAGACGAACACGAACGAAATTTTTTGTTCGTTTACTAAACGAACGAACACAAACATGTTCGAAAATTAGTCGAATTCGAGCTCGAACACATAAAACTCGATTATGTTCGATAACAACCCTAGCTACAACTCTTTGAGTGATCGGGCTAACACCTCAAAAGCTAATATCAACAACTAAATATACTAATTAAATAAATTGAAAGGGTTAATTGCCAAAAAAATCACGACCTTTCATTGAATTGCAAATTAATCTCAACTTTTTCAATTTTGCAAATAAATCTCAACATTTATTAATTATTGTAATTTTGTCTCAAAATTGAATTTCGGCCATTCGCCGCCACCGGCCGCCGCCTGTCTCCGGCCAACCTTGCTGGAATTAAAATTTTTTTACGTCATCGTGTAGCTCTCCTTTCGGGCAACAACATATCCGAAGTTCGTGTAAAAATTACGACAAAGGGTCTAATTTCTCGGTAAAAGATCTACAAATTTTATCCACCGTTCTTTCGCAAATTTTCGGCGACTCGCTTTGATCCACACGAATCCAAAGGTACCGTTGAACTCCTCTCGCCGAGCCGCTTCTATTGACATTCACCATCGTCGGAAACAGTGACTTTTTCCGGCGACGAGTTTTCCGGTCATCTATTGACTGAGAAATTGGACCCCTTGTTGTCGTAATTTTTACACGAACTTTGGATATGTTGTTGCCCGGAAGGAGAGCTACACGATGACGTAAAAAAAAAATTAAAATTCCAGCGAGCTTGGCCGGAGACGGGCGGCGGCCGGTGGCGGCGGATGGCCAGAATTCAATTTTGAGACAAAATTGCAATAATTAATAAAGGTTGAGATTTATTTGCAAAATTGAAAAAGTTGAGATTATTTTGCAATTCAACGAAAGGTCGTGATTTTTTTGGCAATTAACCCTAAATAAAATTGCACATAATATCCACACGTTTTGGGTAATTGCAAATAAAACTCAACTTTTTTATCTTTGCAAATAAATATCAAATTTTTATTATGTGTTGCAAATTTGTCTCAAAACCACTTTCTGGCCAATTCTTGTTGACGTGTCCGATCAGAAATCTTATGTGACACTTATGAGGTTTGTGTGACATCAATCTTTGAAACTTTTCACCATGTTTTTGTCACATCATATGCCAACAAATTAACCAAAATTAGAGTTTAGTACCAATTGAAAAAATAAGATTTTATCACCATGTTTTTTACTTCATAATCTTCGTAATAATAGAGTTCTACTCCCCCAATCGGAAAAAGAAAAAAATAATGTAGCGATTTTTTTTCTTCTCCATGACGCGATTCTTCACTCCCAAAAATTGAGTTCACCACCAACATTCTGAATACATTTACGCGCTCAACCCCAAATTCTGAAAAATTGGTATTTATTTGCAAAGATAATAAAGTTGAGTTTTATTCGCAAGTACACAAAAAGTGAGAATTTTATGTGCAATTAAGTCAATTACAAAGGAAGAAGGGTACTTTTATTTTTCTTGCTTCTAAACAACTTCTTTAATTCCCTTTGATGGGATTCTTCTTGTATTCTTTTTCTTTGGATTTTTCCTCTAGATTTGTTATGCCTTTGAGGTACAGACTATTCACCTATTTATAAACTATAAAAGGTTTATAAAAGGTGAAAATTCATCACGACTTCTTGATGAGTCATCGGACGCGTGGCGTGCAGCTAGGGTATCTGCTCTATGCAAGGCGACACATGGTAGGGTACCTCTCTAGGTAATCGGTTTTATGGTCGGTGGGTCCCGTTCATGCTAGTCAGTGTGAACCAGTTCTGAACGCGGTGTAAACTGGCTCTGGGAGGTGATTATTTTTCACATGGGGTGGTGAGATCGGCACGAAAATAATTGTATGTTGTTGTCAGTGCCGACGTGGAATATCGGATTCACATGCGAAGTTGTGATATTAGCATGAAAGATGCTTGACCCGATTGAGATCAGCCTGAAATGAAATTGGCACCACTAATTGTTCTTATTTGAGATCGGCAGCGATGGTCTTTAAACGCGATGTACTGGTGGATCTTGTGTATGCGAGTACCGTCGTGACTTCAGGAGGGTGTTTGTCGATGTGATTTTGCCTTCGAAGCCTCCACGTCAACATCATCGATTGACTAAAACCTGATCGACAGAAAATACATACAACAAAAAACACTTTCATATTTTAAATTAATCATGATATACTACGAGAAATGACTACAGACTACAGTCTCGTCACGAAATCATTTTGTTAAGTGTTTTGACCGTGAATTATCTACTCTACACAAATCTACATTTGTTCAAATTCCACATTGAGGTCGCCCAGCGGAGCTCAAAGTCCACCTTCTCTTCTCGTCAAACACGGCTCGCCACTATCTTTCGAATGAAATTTTGAACGGATCAAAATACGAGCAACACTAAAAGAAATTAGACCTTACCGAAAATTGTTGTTTGTTGCGTTCTAGAATGGAACGACTCCACAAATCACACAACACATTTTAAATTTCCACCGTTTCCGGTCAATAATATGAACACGTAATTCCAGTTCAAAATTTGCCAAATACAAGTGCCACTTAAGGCCTTAATTTTTTTTATTAAAAAATGTTATTAACCAAATTGCGCCACATTAACAAGCCACGTGGCTATATTTTCGCTTTAATTCTTACCTAGTCGGGCCTAACGAAATTCGTCAAAACGTGAACAGATGCATAGGGGCTGCTGGGATATAAATGTTTTTGATTTTGTTTGATTTTTGATTTGATATCGTTAATTTTGAAAGAAAATAGTATGATTAGTTATCGTAAAAATTTGAGTTTATATGAAATATAATATTTAAAATTAAATAATTATAATTGATTTGATGTAAAAATATGAGAAATATGACGTGAAATGATATATAGTTAAAATTATATAATTGGATTAATAGTAAATTCAAGTTGATGTAATATACAAGAATAATTAATTGATATTATTTAATTATATTGAGTGTAGTGATATTGAGTAAAGTTGAATTAGATTTGAGTTATAAAAATAACTGAATAAAAAATATTTAGATTGTTTTGGATAAACTTATATCCAGCATCCTCATAAAAAAAAACGCCCAAATTAAGAACATATTTCCATATATACAAGTCGCTGAATTTTATGTTGTCTTTTAGAATTAGTTAGTAGATAGTTTATCTGTAATTTTTGGGAAATACTATGGTCTTAATACGGAATTCGTCAGATTCGTAACTGTTAGATTATCATGTAATCATCGGGAATAGTTTATCTAACAGTTATAAATTTCGGCAAAATAATTCGGTAACGAGACCGTAGCATTTCCCGTAATTTATTCCCGTAATTTTTATATGTTACGCTCAATTTTAATAATCATTAAATTTTATTTAAAATCTTAAATATTGTTAAATAAAATTATCCTCCAAATCGTGATATTTTATACTATGATTTTTGCATGGGAATAAACTGGAATAGAAAGTTCTTAAAAGGACCCAAAAAAGTCAACTTAATCGCCTTGGAAATCACGACATCTATCGCCCCCCCTCTCTCTCTCTCTAATACTTACCCAACTCCGTTTTATACGCCGCCACAGCAAAAATAAAATACACTGATTGCACTGCAAAGACAAATTACAACAAATCTTTAGCTAATTTCTTTTTTCTCCCTTTTAACTCCGGCGATCAACTGACCCGACATAATGAACCGGACGGTCCGGACCGCCCTCCTCTCGGCTCTGCTCTCTCTGCTGCTGGCTATCGCCGCGGCCCAGCCCGGCCAGAACAACAACGAGCAGTACCAGTACGCCCGCTTCAGCCCGTCGATGGCTATAATCATTGTGGTCCTCATCGCCGCCCTCTTCTTCATGGGCTTCTTCTCCATCTACGTCCGCAACTGCTCCGACAGCTCATCCACCCGCGGCCCCGCCGGCAGCATCCGCCGAGCCCTCTCCCGCCGAGCCGCCGCCGCCCGCGGCCTCGACCCCTCCGTCCTCGAGACCTTCCCCACCTTCACCTACGCCGAGGTCCGCCACCACAAGATCGGCAAGGACGCCCTCGAGTGCGCCGTCTGCCTCAACGAGTTTCAGCCGGAGGAGACCCTCCGCCTCATCCCCAAATGCGACCACGTCTTCCACCCGGAGTGCATCGACGCCTGGCTCAACTCCCACGTCACCTG